GTGTTGTCTGCCAGATGACATGCAGTGAAGATCATATTAAGGGGATTGCTTTCCCAACCAAACCTACTGTTTTTTTTTCTTTTCTTTTTTTCTGGCTGCAAGGGTACTGCCATTAAGTTAATAGAAACAAGATATATGGGACAAACATAGGGCCTAGTAAATAAAAATGAAGAGTAGTGAGACACAAGAAATACGACTAGTTGAGATCTTTAGCTGTGATTATTTGTACAAGGAATTGTAAAAGGAATAGACCAGAAACAATTCAGTATCTTTTAAAATTGAATTGACAAAGAAACTTATAAGCCTAGCTTGCAAATGCTTATGTCTATTTGACTCTGAAGTAACCCACAGTCTCTCAAAACTTTACAAGTGAGAGCCCTGGCCGGTTTTACTCAGTGGTTAGAGCGTCGGGCTGTGGACCAGAGAGTCCCCGGTTCGGTTCGCTGAGGGCACGTACCTCGGTTGCAGTTTGTCCCCACCCTGGTTGGGGTCATGTGGGTGGTGAGCAGTCGATGTGTCTCTCTCACATCCACGTTTCTCTCTTTCTTCACCCCTCTCTCCCTCCCGCTCTATCTGAAGATAAATGCAAAAATGTCCTCGGGCGAGGATAAAAAACAAAAACAAGAAAAACTTTACCAGTGAGAAACTGGACACAAAAAGACGCACAGCCTCCCAGGAGGACATGCTCTTCAGTATATCCTTCTGATGGAATCATAGAGAATCATGGGTAAGAACCTCCCAGTGGGTAAAACCAGTACCTTCAGATGCAACCAACAAGGGAGTTCCTTCTAGAGAGTGGAACTGGGGTTTAAGAATTTGCTCCTCGCCCTGGCTGGTTTGGCTCAGCGGTTAGAGCGTCGGCCTGCGGTCCGGAGAGACCCGGGTTCGGTTCCTGCTAAGGGCACGTACTTTGGTTGCAGTTTGTCCCCGGCCCTGGTTGGTCGTGCGGGTGGCAGCCACTCGATGTGTCCCTTCACGTCGATGTTTCTCTCTCTCTCTCCCTTCCTCTCTCTCCCTCCCTCTCTATCTGTACAAAAAATGGAAAAATATCCTCGGGTGAGGATAAAAAAAAAAAAAAAAAAAGAATTTGCTTCGCCACCTGGGCATTCTTTGAAGGTTCTCCTTTGCAACAGTTGGTTAGACTGTGGACCAGGGACTACTGCCATTCTTTTTGAAAATTAGTTTTCATAGTCCTACTTCACCGTTGTACATCAGGTGTATGGGAAAGGGGAACAGGCCCCTCATCTTTTAATTTATAGGTCACTGGATCATGCAGTAACACCCAGACTTATATAGGGCTACGCATCATCTTCAGATCATGCACTTTGAACTGCTTGGAACTTTGGCTTTTCTCCTTTTGGAATATGGTGTGTTCTATATGTCAGAAGAAGGGCATATTTGGATATTTGGGTTGCCAGAAGAATGGACTGTGACAGAGATGTCCAGTAAATCATATTCTCACTTTCTTCCTTCATTACCACAACTGCCAAGTATTAGCTGGGTTTGTGGTTGCCCAGCTAGAGAACTTTGTCTCTCACCTTCCCAATGGTTAGATCACATCATGTCTCTAATCAGATCAATAGAATTAGTAGAAATGACGTTTGCTACCTCTGGGATGCACTCTTAGGAGTGCTGAGATGTACATCCCTTTCCTTTCTGCTTTTTGCTGGTCTATGATGCGAGGTGGTGGCAGGTCCTGGCGTGGGGATCATGGATGATGGCAGTAGTGCTGTCCTACCAGTCCTGGACCACCTACCTCTGGACCAGTATATAAGAGAAAAAACTCAAACTAGCTTGTTTCAGATACAGTAATGCTGTTAAGCAACCTAATCTGCATCTTAACAAAAACCTAGGCTTTATTTTGGGATAGGGTATTAAGTATTCTTGTTTCCAAGGGGCAAGGTAAAAACTTGAACAAATGGAAAAGAGACTTTTGCTAATCACAGTTAGAGTTTTGGCCCAATTAAACCAAATATGTAACCACTGAATACTTAATGTGAGCCAATCCGGTATGAGACATTGTGGAAGAAAAGACATGGTCATGCTTAGCGTTGAACTACCTATTTCTAGATTGTTACATAAGAGAGAAATAAACTTCTATTTTGTTTAAACTGCTGTATTTTGGGTCTTTGTTATACCAAAGATGATGCTTACAGTATATCCTAAAGAACATACATTGTTAGAATTTGTTGGAGAACTAGAGCATAATCACAAAAATGAAAAATCAAAGCAATGGGGACAAAAGAAGGCCCTCTCAGTGTGAAGCTCAGAAAGGATTAGGAAATTCTAAAGAAAAGGAAGTACTAGGGGTGAAAATGGTATAATTGAAGAAATAAATGGCAGAAATATTTAATCCTCTCCTCAACAAACAAAACTCAATGTAGCCTTGGCCGGTTTGGCTCAGCGGTTAGAGCATCCGTCTGCGGTCAGGAGAGACCCGGGTTCGGTTCCCGCTAGGGGCACGTACCTCGGTTGCAGTTTGTCCCCAGCCCTGGCTGGTCGTGAGGGTGGCAGCCACTCGATGTGTCCCTTTCACATCGATGTTTCTCTCTCTCTCTCCCTCCCACTCTATCTGTACAAAAAATGGAAAAATGTCCTCGGGTGAGGATAAAAAACAAAAAAAACTCAATGTAACTTTTCTTATAACTGTTCTGGTAAATGAAAAAACTCTTCTGATTTATGAAAAAAAATCTCTGAAATAAATTAAGATATTTTGCTTTCAAAATGTTTATTTTTTTATAATAAAAGTAATAGCCATCAGAACACTTGAGAACACTGTAACAAAGCAGAACATTTTATTTATTTACTAAAAAAAATTTTTTTCTTTATTGATTTTTAGAGAGAGAGATAGAAACATCGATGATAGAGAACATGCATTGGCCACCTCCTGCATGCCTCCCCACTGGGGATTTGGCCCACAACTTGGGCATGTGCCCTGACCGAGAATCAAACTGGCGACCTCTTGGTACATGGGTCGATGCACAACCACTGAACCACACTGGCAGGGCCGTACTATAGAACATTTTAAAACAGAGGTTCAAAGGAAGTGAAAATCAGTAAACCATTACCTTGAACAACAACAAAATATCAGTTTAATTTTTGCAAATATCAGTTTAATTTTTTCTAGTCTTCAGTGGGTGTGCAAGTAGGGCATATTTTACAGTGATACTTCGGTTCTCGAACGCCTCGGATTTCGACCAAATCGGTATTCGACCAGGAGATTCGAGAAACTTTTGTCTTGGAATCCGAACAAATATTTGGAACTCGAACTTCCGAGATGAGCCGAGTTGAGCCGAATGGCGTTCATTCGGCCCAGCGCGCCTTGCTTGCGTCATCAGTGTGAGTGCAGAGAGAGAGTCACGCTTTGTGGAGAGAGTCACGCTTTACACTGAATTTAACCCTTAGACATACTGTACACTTTTATTTCTTGTTGAGACTTATGTTTTTCTACATATTATATACAAATTAGGCCAGTAAATAGGCATTTTCTGGGGCTTGGAACGAATTAATCCAGTTTCCATTATTTCCTATTGGGTTTCATTGCTTTGGTTCTCGAACAATTTGGTTCTCGACCGTCCTCCTGGAACGAATTATGTTCGAGAACCGAGGTATCACTGTATATGCATTTTTATACATATGACATAACACACATGTACATACTTGAGCTCTGTTGTGTTTTCACTTAACATTATATAAGTACTTCTTGACATGAAAAATTCTTGTTTTTAGTTGCGGAGTATTTCTAACATGTTTAATTTCATATAACCAATCACTAAACCAGACAAAGCAAATCAGTATATATCAAAAGGCAGCAATTAAAAAAAGAACCCACAGAATATTTCCTTTGATAGAGGAATGATCTTATTTTTTCAAATGCTTAGCAACAGCCTGGCCTTCACAAGCCTAGAAGGGATACCTTAAGAGTGTTTTCCGGAAAGGCCTGTGGGACCTACTTTGTATCATCTCACAGTAAAAAACAAATAAATCCAAAGTAAAATCAGAGGCAAACTGCCCAGAGGAAATGTAAATTACAAAATAACATTTTAATCTAAATTTAATGTTACATGTTTTGCCATATTCTACAATACAGAACTAATCCTCCTGTCCATCTTATATTACAGTTCAGACCACCCTAAAACAGACAAATAAACCCATGGGGTGGGGGAGGGGGTTGGGTCAAAACCCTTTCATCCCTCTGGGTGCTAATCTGAAGTTCCTTCCGTTATCTGAGATTATCTGCCCATTTTGGCAGAGAGTTTGTGTAAAACCCAACATTTCACACCGGGTACACCCAAAACACCCATCTGGCTCCACCCACCATATTTTGTGGGTTGAAGATGTGTCACAGGACCGAATGCTATCTCCCATGATTTGAGAAACATGAACGATCCAACAGCACCATCACATTCACCTGTGTTAGTGGTGGTATTCGTGCCTTGCTCCTCTATTTGCCCCCCTGTAAAATGGGTTTATCACTGTATTATTTATGCATATGTATGTGTGTGTGCGCACACATTTTTGTCATTAATTGCGTTATCTCCCCCATTCGGAGCTTTTCGAAAACTGTGCTTAGTTTTCATTTTGGAGAAATACAGTACTCTTTTTTTCGGTAATTACTCATAATCTGGAACTATACACACATTCTAGTTGTCTGTAAGGTAGGTCGTTTGTATCTTATTGGGCATACCAAACACCTGCTAAGGAGGTTGTGAAATGGGACCGAACTTAAAAATCAAAGGCTAGGCATTTTTTTTTTTTTTTTGGCCTCTGGCGCTTCACGTACTTCGTGGCGCAATTCACACACTTGCTCTCAGCTTGGGAACTTTGTCCTGAAGCCGAGCCAGAAAAACTCGTAGGTGTCTCCGGGACCAGGCACCCCTCAGGGACAGAGCACGCCCTGTCACCGCCCGCGGCCTGCGCCTTAGGTAACCTCGACTCCGGCGCAGCTGCTCAGTGCACAGCGGTGCCGCCGCCGGCGTCCGCAGGCCAGTGCTCGCCGGGCCCGCCGCTGCGGCTGGCTGTCTGCCGCGCCCGCCCGCCCATGCTCTCCGCCACCAGGAGGGCTCGTCAGCTCTTTCACAGCCTTTTTCCGGTCCCAAGAATGGGCGACTCGGGTTCTAAGATCATCAGCCCCCAGGAGGCCTTGCCGGGCCGGAAGGATCGGATCACCGTGGCGGGTAAGAACGCGGGTACGCTCCGAGGGCGCGGTGGTCGCTGCTGCGCATGCGTGGCGGTGCCCGGCGGCGGCCCCTCCTCCGCCCACCGGGAGAAAGCTGTGGACTGGCCTCCGAGGGAGGTTAGGCTGGGGTCTGCGCAGGCGCGGAGAGGCGCTGGTAAGGGAGGAGGCGAGAGGTCGCTCCTGTTTCTTTGTTCAGTCCCTTACTCAAAAAAAACCACAAAAGTGCTCTGACGGAATCTAGCATGCGGGCATAACATCTAGAGTGCAAATTCCCCAGCGGCTTCAAACTTTGGGCAGTGAAAGCGCGGACCCGATTTCTGCCTTGTCACTGGGATGTGCGCGTCCGCAGGCCCGGGTTCTCTGCATCCTTTCCTTTCTCCTTTGCACTGGATGCCGGGATGCGCTCCTTGCAGCGAGGGTGCGGTGTTGTGTTGTCACCGGAAGCAATGTAATGAAACACAACGATGGAAACTGCGGTTTTGAAATTGTGTCAGTCCAGTGCTCTGGTTGCAGGCATTATCCTCAGCTTTCCTTATCTTCCAGGACTCCCCGGTGTCTCCCGTTTAGTAGGAGCTGCCGCTGGCCCTGTGCTCCCGGCCTGCACGTGTATCTGTCCTGCAGAGGTGTCTGTTCTGGGGCTGGGCTTCCTAAACTTCAAAACAAATTTCCAATCTCATACCAATGTTTTTGGAAAATACAATAAAAGTGAAATGATACATGTATTGATTTTAGAGCGAGAGGAAGGTAGAGGGAGAGAGAGTTAGAAACATTAATGAGAGAGAACATGACGTGCTTGGATGCCAAGTAATGTTATATATACTATCTACAGTTTTCAAAAGCTTAACTCTCCATTTCTGTCGTAGACCCGTTGCAGTTTGCAAACAGCACAGGTCCACCGAACCCAGGACCATAATTTAAGTAGGATTACCGTGGTGCAATGTTCCTCAAAGCGTGGCCCTATCAATTTGTGTTTTAAGCCTTACAGGGGATTTTAATGCACTCCTAGTTTATAAACCACTATCTTAGAGCTATTGGAGGTTTAAGCGATGATTCATCTTTTACAAATGGCTCAATGCCAAGATAGATCCTGCATTTGAAATTTCCCAGAAATTATTCTATTTTTCTTTTCCTTAAAGAATTGTTGAGTATTTATAGGAGGAGGTCATAGTGAGGGTCTGCATATCATGTGCAATACTCAGTATGAGACCATAAAAGATAGAGGTTTGGGGGTTTGAGGCAGTGTGGAAAGTGATTGCATGACCTGCTTTTTATTTACCTACATTAGCAGTTCTATTTTCTGTGTCTGCCATCACTTCACCTCCAACTCATCACCAGGCCTAAAAATTTATTTTATTTTTCACTCAAATTTAGAGAGTGAGTTTTTTTTTGGTGGGTGGGTGGGTGGGGGGAATAAAAAAGAATCAGATTATCTTTATCTCTAAACTATATTTAATTCAATAATCTAACTTCATCTTAAAAGTAAATTTTCTTTACAAATTTGCAAACTAGGATTCATGAATGGATATTTAAAGGCAGTCCTTTCTTTCTTTCTTTCTTTCTTTCTTTCTTTCTTTCTTTCTTTTCTTTTTGATTTGAGAGAGAGAGGAAGGGAGAAGGAGAGAGAGATAGAAACATCAATGAGAGAGAACATCAATTGGCCGCCACCTACATGCCCCCCATTGGGGATTTGGCCCACAACCTGGGCATGTGCCCTGACCAGGAATGGAACTGGCGACCCCTTGGTGCATGGGTCAGTGCTCAACCACTGAGCCACACTGGCTGGGCAAGGCAATGTTTTTAATGTTGAACTTCCCCAGTTTTTATTGAACTTCTTTTTTACAAACTGCCTTTGATATGCCCTCTCAGACAAATAAACAACCCCAAAACTCTTGAACAGATTTCCAAACTGGTTCAAGATCAAGACTGACCAAAATTTAGTTCTGTTTTTTCTTAATCAGTCTTCCCAATATATAAATGATACTTTTGGTAAAAGATTGACCAACATGACAGAAAACTGCCAAAGATTTCTTTTTCATATCCACATGAAAACTCTGTAAAACTTCAGGACCTGGTTCTATTCCAGGCTCTTCTTTCTTTTCGTATAGCCCTTTGTACATCTCTCTGAATCTGGACCTGTAAACTGTTGTTGTTTTTTTGGTCTAGGGCCAAACCTGCAATGCATATGTCCTTATTGCTAAGCTGTTGCCCTCCCCTCAATACAATATTTACATTTTGGATTGTGGCCTATCCAGTCTACACTCCTGGTACTTACTCCTGCCTTGATAGGTTGGGGAAAGTTCTAATTGGCTCCAGAAATGGGCAGTGTTACCTATTTGGCCAGTTTTGGTGATTGTAAGCTTGAAGCTTATGGACTTATTATTGTTTTGAAAGTTAAATTAATCTTAGTTTCAGCCTCCAATTTGTTTAACAGCTATTCACTTCTCTCTATTACCTCTGTTATTTGCACCCTGTCTCTCTGAAAACATTTGAGACAAAAGCATCATCTTTTGATTTTAGAGAACAAAGTGTGTCTATTTCATATCTTTGGCTCAGCCTACTATGAGGTGTGCACTATTACCAAATACTTTTGGTATGAAGGGTTATCATCTAAAATTTAAATCTACCTCTTTGGATGCTTAAGAAAACATATCTTTTTATAAATTGTAGCCCAGTAGATTTCTACTTTGCAGGAGGGTAAGATTCAATCTTTTTTTTTTGCATTTATCTTCAGATAGAGTGGGAGGGAGAGAGGAAGAGAGAGAGAGAGAACCATCGATGTGAGAGAGACACATCGAGTGGTTACCACCCGACTCCAACCAGGGCTGGGGACAAACTGTAACCGAGGTACATGCCCTTAGCAGGAACTGAACTTGGGACTCTCTGGTCTGCAGGCCGACACTCCAACGGCTGAGCCAAACTGGCCAGGGCCAGATTCAACCTTCCAAACTTCTTTAATGTTTACTTTCTCCCAGGCTATCTTAAATGGACCAAGACATGAATAGGCCTACTTTGGGTGATTGGTTAAAACTAAAGTTGCACTAGACTGCCTCATTTGAAGCTTACTCTGTTCAGGTTAGTGGTGTGTTCTGGACAGCACTGGCTGGCTGGTAGGGCACACAGCACTTTGGTCTGGTCTTATGCACTTTGGTCTGGCCTTATATATGGAGGTGGTTTTGCTCTGTTTTAGTGTCTGGCTATAAAGCAATACTGAGAGAAATTTGGGACTGGGGAAAAGAGGGGTGGGATTTATGCTTATTGAACTAAATTGGTGGGCAGTTAATTGCTAGAGATAGGCAGGAGGTGGAAGGCTTATAATTAAAACCCCAGAGTACCTCTTATATTATTTAAATGTAAGTTTATTATAGTTAAAACTGATCTTATTTCCAATGAGTTAATTATGGTAAAAGCCCAGCTTTTATTTTATATGGCACTTTTTTTTTTTCATATCGGAAACATTGCTAATCTGGTTTTTTAATCAGGTATTTGGGATTTGGAGATATTCAGGATAATATTAATTGCTCCTATTTAATCTCTGTCTTGCCTTTATATTCTTAGATTGTGTTCACTGCATTAATTGCTGTGATGTCTTTTTGGGGTGAGGAAGAGATGTAGCACACCTGCTAGAATTATACTTGTTTAAGAACTTTAAACATAAACAGAAAAACAGTGGAGCAATATAAGTAATTCAAGAAAGTGTCTCTTTAAAAAATAATTAGCCCTGGCCGGTTTGGCTCAGCGGTTAGAGTGTCGGCCTGCGGTCTGGAGAGACCCGGTTCGGTTCCCGCTAAGGGCACGTACTTCGGTTGCAGTTTGTCCCCGGCCCTGGTTGGTCGTGCGGGGTGGCAGCACTCGATGTGTTTCTTCACATCGATGTTTCTCTCTCTCTCTCTTCCTCTCTCTCCCTCCCGCTCTATCTGAACAAAAAATGGAAAAATGTCCTCGGGTGAGGATAAAAAAAAAAAAAAAAAAAAAAAAAAAAAAAAAAAAGAATTTTAAACATAAACAGAAAAACAGTGGAGCAATATAAGTAATTCAAGAAAGTGTCTCTTTAAAAAATAATTAAACTGCAGAAATAAAATGTATAAAATATTAGCTAGTCTAATAAAGGAAAAGGGAAGAAATTACAAATACACAAGTAAGAACTGAGGGGGAATAATGGAAATAGAAAGTGTAAAGAATCATAAGGGACCATATACTCAGTTCTTCGGAAATAAGTTTGAATACTTGGATAGAATAGATAATTTTTAAGTAAATATAATTGACTCTTATCCCAGAAAGAGGGGGAAAATCTAAACAGACTGATTTTTCTTAAAAAAAAAAAAAGAAATAAAGTTGTCAAGGAGTTGCCTCCTTCCAAAGCACTATGTCCAGACAGTTTTACAGGGGACTTCTACTGTATAGTTAAAGAACAGATAACTACAATACTGTTAAACTGAAAGAAATGTCAAATTGTTTTTAAGAAGCAAGTATGACATTGAAACCAAAATTGATAAAGACTACAAAAAATAAAATAAAACTACAGAACAATCTTATATATGAATATTGATGCAAAACTGCAAAATAAATATAATAAACAGACTCCAGTAATGGGATTCAATCTCAGAATGCAAAGATGGGTCAATATTAGGAAATCTTTTAATATAATTAATAATTTAATTGATCTAACAGAAAAATGGTATAACTATCTCCTTGGATGCTGAAAAGTTGTTTGACCAAGTTTAACAATCATTTTTTGATAATAACAGTCAGAGAAGGCTACTTCTTTAACATGATAAAGTGTATCTATTGCAGCCTAAAGGCCAACATGGTGCTTAATAGAGAAACATTTGAGATGTCCACTAGAGTCCCGATCAAGAAAGACTGTGGAGGTGGTCCACTCTTGCTCAGCCTAGTAGCAGGTGTGCACTATTATTAAATACTTTTGTTGTTAAGATTTATCATCTAAGCTTTAATCTTACCTTTTTTTTTTATTCTTAAAAAAATGTCCATCCTTATAAT